CCGGTAGTCCCAGCTACCAAATTTTCTCAGAACTACACTGACCTGATTCCTTTATAGCCAAGGATATGTAGGCAACCTCGGAAGCAAGGTTCGGTAACCTTTTTCACAAAAAAAAAGCTTTCATTGTAGTGATGTGTGAGCAAAATAATAGTCATGGCATTCACTTTTCTTTGCACGAAAACTCTTCATGTTCTCGAGCAAAGAGGAGCAGCTGTAAATGCCTAATTTTTGCTTTTTCTTTTTCTTCTACATTATATTATTTTTTTTATTTTGTAGGATTATTATATGTGTATTTGTAGATTTTGAATTAAGACTTTAGTTTAATTAATTGTCATGAGGTTCAAGGGATTGGGTTCCTTTATGTTTCATCCAAATTGGGTTGAATTTGAGGCAAATTGGCGGCCCAAATCAGCCAACCCAGTCCAAATGTTGGCTTGCCAAGACCCAGATCAAAACGACGTAGTTTCAAAATAAAACTATGTCGTTTCACTTAATGAAGCTGAGAACAAATCTCATCCATTCAATCCAACGGACCTCATTTCATCTCCCTTTCCGAATAAAAGGGCTAAAAAATCAGATTTTTGGCCATTTACCCATACCCTAGAGACATCTCTCTTCACTCTCTCACCTTCTTTCAAGCCGTCGCCGCCGGTGGTGCTCCAAACACCACCCAAATTACACCGTTCTCTTCATCTCACTACCCTCTCTCCGAATCTAAGCCCCAAACCTTCAAAACCTCCCTCTAATTCCATGAAATCAAAACCCTAGGTAGCCGCCCCTTTATTCCTTCTCTGATTTCATGGAAAATCCAACAACCCACCCCACAAGCTTCACATAGACGTGTAGATCTCTAGGAGATCTACACTTTCCCTTTAATTTCACCTCCGAAACCCGACCACCGCCGTCTGACCCCCCCCCCTCCCCCACTGCCGCGACCGTCGTTGCCACTACCTCATCGTTGCTGAGCCTCTGTTGCAGCATGAGCACGACCCTGTTGCCTCTCTTTCTCTTTGACAAAATGCTGGACTCAACTCTATCTCGTCAAAGTTTGTGTGTTTTTCGGCATTTGTCATTGAGAAAAAGAGGCGTGGAGGTCGATTTGCCATCGAGTTGTGTTGTACTACTGCTTTGAAGCTTGAGCGTTTAGGTCAAATACTAATCCTTCCTCTAAGTTTTTGATTTTCTATTTACCTGCCGTTTGTTTTTAGTTCTGTTATTGTTAATCTGTGACCAGTGATTCGTGTTAGTCTCATTAACGGTCATCGATATTAGTCGTTACTTAATACTTTCGAATCATGTATTAGTTAGTCGTTTACTCTGTCATTACGTTTTGTTTAGTCAATCGGTTTTGTTAATCACTTTTGAAATCCGATTAGTTATTTGTAATTGGCAAAGTTCACTGATATTCTAGTTTGTGATTGATTTTGGTATTTTGCTTTACTTCAAATCTGCTTTTGCGATTGATTTTGGTATTTTGCTTTAGTTCAAAATCTGTTAGTGATCAGTACTTCGTGTTTAGTCTCGTTTTTGATTTCGTGTTTCAGTCAACTCGATAGTTGTTTCATTATCAACATGTATCATGCGTTGCCTTAGTTGTTAAGTTCCAATTTCATGTTCATTATTTCTAGTTTTGTCTATGTTTAAGCTAACTAGTTTAAGGCCTTAACTACATGTTTTGTTTGTTTGTAGTCATTAGGTTATTTTGTTAGTTATGATGGTTCAAGTATAGTTATCTGATTTTGCACCTTTTAGTTTGAAGCAATAGTTTAGTTTGATATTGGTTTGTGAGGATAGTAGAAGGTACTTGAGTGTAGGGCCTTTGTTAGTTTGTTTTTACTGTTCGGGGACTTTTGGGAGTGCAATACTCCGAAATTCTGTCCACAATTGGTAAGGAAAACTGTTCATTGGATAAAATTCTGGTTTTGGACAGATTTTTGGTCAAAAATCTATCATTTTGGACAGATTTTTGGCCAAACAAAATCTATCCCCAGGTCTTTCCTCCCCCTATAAAAAAGAGGAGTTATTTCCTCATTTACGGGGATCTTTTACTCTAAAAAATACACTTCTTATACACTTAGCAAAAGAATACAACTTTGAGAGTAAAAAAGAGCAGTTGAACACCTCAATAGTAAGCTAAAATTCTGAGCTTAGTGAGTGTTTCTTAGAGTGCAAAAACCCTTGAGAAAAATAGAAGGATCTATTGGTCAATTCATGAAGTTGTTAGCTACTAGTTTCAAGCATCCTTGTTGAGTATTCTGGGTTATCTTAACACTGAGTTGTTGCTGTCTTTATTGCTGTTTCTGCTGCTATTCTTGCTCATTCTAGTGTTGTATTTTTATAATCTGCGACCCAGGTAACCCTTGAACTTTGCAATGCAGATTTTTCTATCAAATAATTGAAGATATAGGTCTTTTCAGCTCTTTGGATATGCTTGATGTACCTTACTAGAATAATTGAATGTTTAGCATGTTACCCGTGCTTTAAGCTTGTGAAACTGTAATATTTGGCTTAATATTCAATTCCACTTTACATACGTAGCTAATACAAACCTTCTGCTAAGTTCTTTAGCCAAGGTGAATAAGCATTTTCATTGCCAGAAGCTTTCTCTTTGCCTTGGTTTCATTTTTGAGTTTTGTTACCTTATGAGGACTCTTAGTGCTAAAAATATAACTGATAGTAAAACTTCTTTTCTTGTTTAAGTTGAGTTGAAGTTGAAAAATAGTATATGATATAATGAGTGTGCTAGGCTAGAGGAGAGAACCAATGAAAGAATGCCTTAATGTGCCATTACTATTTTGAACTTCTATTTGGTTGAGCTTAATGCACACAATTTTTCTCAGTTAAATATCTAGGAATTCATGTTCTTTAATGCTTTATTTTTAGCTACATGTCCTAGTTGGGTTTACATCAGTTTTAAGAATACCCCAGGTCACCATCACCTTTTGTACTAAGTTTGCTATCCATTTATCTTTCTTTAACATCAACGCTACCGAAAAATTAATTTTATCAAGTGTAAAGTACTAAACGAGTTTTGGAGTCAGTCTTTTAAATACTAGGCTTCATTATTAAAAATAGTTTTCACTAATGAATTAATTTAAGCGCTAGGCAAATTTTAGGAACAAATGTAGCTTTATATTAGTTTCCGTCATTTTAATTAATAACAACAATAATAAAAATAAGGTTATAAGTAGGTTTAATATTAACTAAGTTTTATACATCGTCTTACCACCATTAAGCTACAAATAGGCATTTTCTTTTACGATAAAGATGAACAATTATTTTTTCCTAATCTAACCCCTATAGTAATTCGTCTTAACTAAGGTAAATAATTTCGTCTTAACAGATATCGGGAAGACTCGCTTCGGAATAAAGACATAAATAAAATGGCAAGGTCGTGAGGACGTCTTGTTCCAATTCTTTCAAGTAAATAAAAGTTTGTTATTTAATTAACTTCGAGTAGACTCCAATTTTGGATACGACGCACGAAATAAGGTCGGGGATACTCGTCTTGGTTAGTATAAGCTAGGGTCAGGGATACTCGTCCTAGTTTGAGATTAATAAAGTCATCAACAATAAAATGGGACATAGGCAAACATGAAAATCAAATAAAACACAGTTTATCCAAAAATTAATTCAAGCCAATTTTAGTCAATAAAAGCGATCGTGCTAGAACCACGGGACTCGGAGAATGCCTTACACCTTCTCCCCGATCAACAGAATTCCTTACCCGCACTTTGTTTTCGCAGACCAATAATAATATAGTCAAACCTTCCTTTGACTAGGGATTCAAACAAAAGGTGACTTGGAACACCCAAAAATCAATTCCAAGTGGCGACTCTGAACAATAAAATAATCCCTACTCAAGTTTGTCACTTTAATTGGAAAAACTCTTTAACTCACAATCCATAACACACACATATTCTTTGCGGGGGTAGAAAAGGGGTGTGACATGTATTATTCAGGGATAGGATTAATTCAGAAAGAAGAAATCTTTGGTTTTGAAAAATTAACCACTAGGGAAGAAGAATACAATGAGATACTTAGCACTGGGAGCGACGACGGCATGGAGCTCATGGAAAATCAATCAACATTGCCAATTCCAGCACAATGTCCGAGAGATATTATTGATAAGTTACAAAGAAGCTATATATGAGCTTACAAATATTAGTATGATAATTTGTAATTGGCTACTAAGAGGCCTAGTTCAAACAGAACCCTTCCTAGAAGGTGGCTGCGTAGATTAGGTGCTCTTCAAAAGAATTATATTTGTATTTGAGATTTGAAAGTTCTATTAATAAAATAAAAGGCTCTAAGCGGTTGAATTTTTTTTATGAATTGTCTTAGTTACTTAATACTTTGAAATTATATTAAATAAATTATAACTCTATTATAAATTTATAATTACTAGAATATTTAATTACAAGTCTTTTGTTTTAATATTTTATAATTCTTTACTTAGTTTTCTAATTTCCGTTTTAACATTTAAGTTTATTAAAATAAGTCAAAAAACTAGCCGTTGCAAACTTTAAAAACTTAGTCATTTTCAAAAAACTAGACGTTTTTTTTTTAAAAAAAATACACTTGAGGTCCACGAACCCGTCCCGTCCCGTCCCATGCCGTTTGTTAGCGGGACGGGATGGGCCAACCATTTCGTCCCGTTTCGTTCCCGTCCCGTTGGACAGCCATAGCGCGAACTATGTGTGCGAAAAAAAGTTTAAAATGTATACATATATAAGATCACACTTATTCTGAATCCATTAACTCTGCATCCTGAATTTTGCTTCTGTTTGCATATGTTACTTCCCTTTCATTGACATCTCATCCGCCATTTGAACGAAAAGTACTTCCCTGAAGTCCACTTTCGTTTTCAATGTATTGCGTAGACAAACATTTGTCATTTGATTTCATGTTGGTCCAACCAAGACTAGACTAAGCATGAGAAAATGGTTCGATTTTCAAGTAGCCAGTAGCTTATCAGAGGCATACAAGATACTATCTTGAACAAAGGCAAATCCAGGATTTTTATTTTGTGTTCAGCACTCGGATTTCACCTACTGAATCCATCATATTGTTTGAATTATGGTTTCATAGTTAAATATTTTCAATAGGTCTTAGCAAGTTTTTTTTTTAGGGGGGGGGGGGGGGGGGGGGCTAACTGTAGTACCTAATCCGAAGAAAGGCCATGCGCCTAACACAGATAAATTCAGGCTAAAAGTTATGAGTTCAAAACTTCAAATGAACCCATAACTCTACTACTGAATACACCCCTGATCTTGAATATAATGTACAACTGGTCCTGGCAAAGGGCAGGATCAGCTTAATTTGAACCATGGAAGAATCTCCTTCCCTGTGCAAGCAACAAAAAAAATGCACACTCCCTACGCAGGAATTATCCTGTTCAGGTTCAAAGGGACTTTCTCAGCCTGTTCAGTCAGCATTATGGCTAATAAGGCCAGGTTTCTGAAGCTGACACAGGCACCCCTGGTGCTTTCTCGTGTCAATAAATTATCGAGGATATAAAGAGACAGAATAGAATAAAATACGCGATTTCTTATTACTGCCAAGAAGAGTACTTTCTTTGAACAAGGCTATTGTTTTCAAGTTATTTAACATACCAAACCTAGATACTTACCTAATACTTGATAATGAAGCTCCTACACCCTCCCTCTTCTTGACTGGCCGATGGAGTGTGATCACTTCAGAAAGCTCTTGATCCAGTTTTCAATCTATGAAGTCCTGCAATTCCTTTCGGTAAGGTAACATGTTGTGGAGGGAAAAAAAGTTCTTGCAACTACGAAAACTACAACAACTCCTATTGGATAACCAGACGTCGAGAAAAGAACATGGCTGCAGAAAAGAAGCCCTCTATTGAATAACCATGCTTTCGTCTCCTACCACTTTATTGTATACTCTATCCAAATGAAGAGAAATTTTCTTATTTTAGATTTAATTAGAGGTAGTCGAAAATAGACAGTTTTTTGTGTTAAGTTGCACGTTAACAGTGGTAATCATTTCTTGGATATAACATATCTCTACCTTTAAAGAACTTGCAGAAACAACATTGTCAAGGGAAATCCCAATGTAACGCTCACCTTTAGCTCTTCAAAGAGTTGATGTAATTTTCCGGCAAGTAGATTTCACCACCAACCTCGCCATGTTGTTCCCCGCTAATGGTTTTCTTTGCAGCTTGAAACTCTGCACTCATAGCATCCATGCCGCGCAGTATGGCTTCCTCTGCGCTTCCATAACCATGAGTTTCTGCATACTTCCTTATATCTTCAGTTATTTTCATAGAACAAAACTTAGGGCCACACATAGAGCAGAAATGTGCCACTTTAGCACCATCGGCTGGTAAAGTTTCATCGTGGAAAGACAGTGCAGTCACGGGGTCCAATGACAAAGCAAATTGATCCATCCATCGGAACTCAAATCTTGCCTTGCTCAATGCATCATCCCAAGCCTGAGAAAGTGGATGACCTTTCGCTAGATCAGCTGCATGAGCAGCAATCTTGTATGATATAACTCCGGTCTTCACATCATCCCGATTAGGCAAACCAAGATGCTCTTTTGGAGTAACATAACACAGCAGCGCGGTTCCAAGTGCGCCTATATTGGCTGCACCAATGGCAGAGGTGATATGATCATATCCAGGAGCTATATCAGTTGTCAAAGGTCCAAGAGTGTAAAACGGTGCTTCATTGCACCACTCTAGCTGTTTCTTCATGTTCTCGGGAATCTTATGCATTGGAACGTGTCCAGGCCCTTCATTCATAACCTGAAATGAAACACAATTTTTGTAACTAAAATTAGCAAGGTAACTCTGATATTCAGGAGAAGAAATAGTCATGCAAGGAATTGGGTTCAAGCTTTCCCAGCCCCTTCTCATCAATGGACTCCTGACGTATTAGAGAATGTGTTTTCTAATTTTGAAACAAAACACCCTCAGACTGTGCATGAATACAAATTTTAAGGAAATAAATAGGAAAAAGAAAACATAACTTTAAATTAAGGGGGAGGGGAAGAGTGGAGAGAAAAGGAGAGGTACATGACATTGCACTACAGAATCAAATAATATCACTTTGAAATATGAAAGTGAAAAGACGCACACAGAGTTCGGACATATAGGCAAATTAGTGTTTGTTTTACAATTTGTCCATTATTTCAACTTCAACTTGAAATAGGGAACATGAGTTGAAAAACTGGTTTAAGGAGTATTTGAAGTGAAATAATGGTTTTTCACTCTCAGAACTTCAACGTTTATCCAAGTGAAATTCGTGTCCAAATAGAAAGAATACTGTTCTGAAGAAACTTCTTTTCCAACAACAGAAGAAGAGATGGTTTTGTTAAGTATACTATAGATAAACACACTTGAGCTAAAAAAAATACTTCATGCTAAGAAGTTAATAGGATGTTAACAATTAGAAAACTGTAGGAAATTGTTACCTGTACATCCTTTTCCCAAGCCCGGCGAGTCAGCTCTCCTTGAGTCAAGAGTTCAGCAAACTGAGCAGTGTCATTTGCATCATAAATTGAACCAGGTCTCAGTCCATCACCAATTGATAACGATATATCGTACTGATTACAGATGTCAAGTATATCATCCCAATGTTCATATGCAAAATTTTCCTTGTGATAAGCTAAGCACCACTTTGCATGAATGGAGCCTCCACGCGAAACAATTCCAGTCATCCGCTTCGCTGTCAATGGGATGTACCTAAGAAGAACTCCAGCATGAATTGTGAAGTAATCAACACCTTGCTCAGCTTGTTCAATTAAGGTCTCTCTAAAAACTTCCCAACTCAGATTCTCAGCGATGCCATTTACTTTTTCTAATGCTTGGTAGATTGGCACAGTGCCCACTGGTACAGCAGAATTACGTAAGATCCACTCACGAGTCTCGTGGATGTGACGACCAGTAGAGAGATCCATAATAGTATCTGCACCCCACATTGTTGCCCATTGAAGCTTGTGAACTTCTTCTTCGATCGAGCTTACAACAGCAGAGTTTCCAATGTTGGCATTGACTTTCACTAAGAATTTTCTTCCTACTATCATAGGCTCCAACTCAAGGTGCTTCTTGTTTGAAGGGATGATTGCACGGCCCCGAGCAACTTCTGATCTCACAAACTCCGGATCCATTTTTTCACGTGCAGCGCAGTAAGCCATTTCCTCAGTTATAATTCCCTGCTTAGCATAGAACATTTGAGTGTACCTTGGTCCTCCTAACTTCTCCCTTTTGTCAATCCACTCCTTGCGCAACTTGGGGAGGCCTATTTAGATGCATAATTATTATGTATATAAAAGGATTATGTCCTAAATCATAATGTTATCGTAAAGAAAGTCATTTAGCTAAACGTATCATATGACAGAAAGCAGGGACAACTTTCACTAAAAAGCTTGTCTTCAGAAGTCATATTTGTCAACTCAGCCAAAGAATACATACAAGATTCATATAGGCGAAAAGAAAACGGTGAAAAACAAATGCGGAAAGTAAGAGCTAATAATACAAAAGAACAACTACTACGCATCAATACCATATTAGTTGGGGTCGTCAATATGGATCCTTGCTATTCATGTCGATCCATTTAAACTCGTCTCAATCCAACGTTTAAAAGAATTAGGTTCTATAGCAATAGGAGTTCTTTACGTTTTCTACTAGCATACAAATCTCTAATAACACTAAAGCAAACATTGGACTTAAAGTCAACATACCTACATGACTAAAACTTAATCCCTACTAGTATCACCTATATGGATCTTTTAAGAGCTGATAATATTACATAATTGTTTATGAAGAAAATTATGAGAAAAAAAAATGATGAAAGATGGATGAAAAATCAGGATCAGACAATTCAACTTCCAAGTATTGCAAGTAGACATGTGACAATTAACAAATTAAGCTGATCTATTAATGGGAATAGCATATGAGAGTTACTGCAATCAGAAGCTTCATCATAAGGCAACCTTTTTGTTTAAGCTTATGAAGTATTAAAAAGATCAAAGGAAAGCGCAAGAAGTTAAGTGGATACTAATAACACTATTCTAGACTGTTGAAAATTCTGCACCCAAAGGAAGAAGGGAGATGGTTAGTAGGCATACCAATACGAGGATTTACACCCTGAGGACCACTGGTATCATAAGTGTCAAAATGTGGTTCATCCCCAGAAAGGTGGATACGACGAAATGGGACTTTGAGCACATGACCTGTTTCTTCATGAATAACTTCACTGCAAATCGCACATTCAACTAATCAACATTTTGCGAACAAAAGAAATTGCATGTGTATGTTATCTGTGCTCTCAAGCTCTACATCACCAACTTTTTGAACTCAATTTTCATAGAAATTAAAAGGATTAACAAGATAAAGTTTTCAACATGATGACACTGAGAATATAAAAAAATTCTACATTTTACCTTATGGTTCACATTCATGTGAAGCATTATACTTCATCTGAAAAATAAGGCAGTTACCTACTAAAGCAGGTTAGAACACTGCTAATGCAAAAATTCTTTAGAATGTCAGTGTATATAAGTTAAATCCTTTCAATAACGAAAATCCTTAAGTTCTATACAACAACATTTCCAATCAAAGATTTTGAACGCTTAGCCACTCCACTCAAGATGTCAAAGAAATGTCATATACAGAATCCCTATGTTGCTTGGACTCTCTGAAAATGTCACCGGTGCGTGCCGGATCTTCCAAAAGTAGTGTATTTTTGGAGGATCGATATGGTGCGGCAGCATTTTGGAGAGTCCGCGCAACATAGCTGAATCCTCAATGACTATTGTTATTTAGAAGAACTATATTGGCAAAGACGGGAGGGATCATAGGCAGACCTGTATTCTTTGGAGCTTTTAGGGAAGCATTCTTCAAATGATGGAAGTGGCAAGAAATCAGGAGCATTAGGATCAACTGTGTGCTTTGGCTTCGTCTTCTCTTTGTTAGCACTTGGAGGATCAAAGGTTAATGTTGCTTTAGGGCCGGAGAAAGAATTAACACATGTCTCCCTTTTCCGCGTAACAGCAACTTGCCCTGTCAAATCAAACCCTGGCAAGAAGGAACTGCTTGGAAAATTTATTTGTGGATGATGATTCCCATTCTTGCACAGAAGTGATGTTAAAGCAGTTTGGACACATGCCATATTTCTCCCCCTGTATTAAAGCAATTATGTCACATATTTAGGACTATAACATTCATTCACATATAAGCAGACTGGGAAAATAAACCATAGTTAGAACAACTTATGCTTGTAATGATACAACAAAAAATGAGTGATGCTGCCAGTTGAATATCATAAACCAAAACGCTAAAAGAATCTTGGAGACTTCAAAATTCATAGCTAAATAAGTATCTTCTTTTCATGATGCAAAAGGTTAAGTATTCACTTTCTATGTTCTACTCCTTCTGTTCCATTTTATGTGGCACTTTTTACTTTTTAGTCTGTTCCAAAAACAATGGCACATTTTTCGGTGCATAAAGTATCCCGCATTCACGCAGGGTCCAGGGAAGGGTCGCACCCTAAGAGGTGTGATGTGGATAACCTACCTTAATGCAATCATTAGTGGCTGGAATGACACCTTTCTACTTTTACAAACAATTTACCTTTATACTTCTCGTTTTACCCTTACTATAGCCACAAAAATACCATGGCATACCCAATCAAACACCCCACCTAAAATGAAACAAGGAGTACCAGATTTGGGCACGTCTGGTGCTGACATTCAAAAGTTTATTGGTAGTGTTTCGAAGATCATTCCAAGTATCAAAGGAGAATTCAACATATAATCAACGGGTTCAACTGAACCAATCATATTTCACATAAAGCATAGATATATATATATATATATGTGTGTGTGAAACTAGATCACATGAACAGGGGCGAAATGCAGCTCAGTGTCACCGGGCCGAGTACTTTTGGTACAGATCATAAATTTATGTGTAAAAAATCACGAAAAATGCAACAAATAGTAGATATGAACCCATAACTTTACAAATATAATGGGTTCAATGGTAAGAACGTTAAAGATTGAACCCATAAAATTTAAATCTCGGATCCGCCTCCGTGACATGAAAGCCTCATACATGAGGTAAAACCGAACAAAGCAGTAAACTAGTCTAAGCCTTAACGCAAAACATTTAAGTTATATATACTGATTGTGTCACACATTTCTTATCATCAACATTAATTGGTAATCTGATAAAAATGGTAAACTAAACTATTATTAGTTACAGTTTAGGTGATGAATTTACAGAATAATAGAAGATGCATGCATGAAAAAGATGTATGTATAAGCTTAATACGTAATTATAACAGAAAATTGAGAGAGAAAAACGAACCTCAGATATCTGAATTAGAGCTCTCTGTCTCTCTCTCTTCTCTGTTCACAAGTAAAAGATCAGAAATGAAGTGACTGGAAAATATCAGGAGGAAGGCTAGTTAATGGCATATCTTTTTGTGGTATTTTATAGGATCTCTTTCACCCAATCAAAAGAAAAGCTGACCTGGCTTTCTGATCTGGCCCCACGTACCATGAGATATTTTATGGGGAAATTAAACGGAAATAATCAGTCACAAGGATACCAAATACTCGGACATGATAATAACCATTTATACAACTTTTTAGCGTAAAAATAGCACGGCTAGCCAGTTTTTGGATTCATCATTCAAAAATAGCCAGCATTTGCAAAGTCAATGAAAAATAGCCACTATTTTGCTGCAACTCGAAAAGTTTCAGCATAATATACTGGAAAGTTTCAGCATAGCCACTACTTTGCAGTTGTATGAACTTCCAGCATATTATGCTGGAACTCCAACACGCGAAAAGTTCCAGTATATTATGCTAGAGTTCCAATACACTTATGATGGAACTCCAGTATATACTAGAGTTCCAGTATATAATATACTGGAGTTATACTGGAGTATTTTTTTCGGATTTTGAACAGTGTTTTCGTTCAGATTTATCTTTACTTGAAAAGTGACTAAATTTCGATTATTTTTAAAAATTGTGACTATTTTTGAATAACCACATGTAAATTTGGCTATTTTTAGCTAACCAAATATACTGTGAAAAAAAAAAAGTTGATTACCCAAAAGTGGATGAAACTCCTCCCCATTTTCCATTCTCTCTGTATTCCCAAGTTACTACTTAGAGGGAGCCACATGTCATAGTTAAAAATTAAATGTTGAGATTAAATTACCCAAAGCAAGCTCCTAATCATGGTTAGAAAAACAAATACTTTATCTTACTTGCTCTTAATTTTTTTGGCAATCCCACAATTTTAGGCAAAAGATTATGCAATCCATACATTCAAAGACGATTTTTTTTTTTTCGAACAATTTTTTTTCTTTTTGGAATACGAGTTTTTCTTTATTTTTTACCCCAGTTTTTCTTTGCATTCTTAGTGAGAGGTACTTAGTGGAAACAGTAAAATCAAATAGAATTAACGTATGGTATTAAAATTTTATAAGGAATAAAAAAATATAAATTTGAGATAAAAAGAAAAACTGTTTAAAAAAACTCGTAATAAAGTAGAAAAAAAAAAGAGGAATTATTTAAGTATATATAGATTACATAATACTTTAGCTAGATTTGTGGGACTACCAAAAGTTTTGAGAGCAAATAAAGAAAATATTTATTATCCTAATTATGGTTAGGAGTTTGCTTTAGGTAATTAAATCGAAATCTTTAATTTTTAACTTACCCATACCGGGTGTTTACACCAAACTATATTAGTTCACTATGGTTAATTAATTTAATTAGATGAGAATGCATGTAATTTACCATGGTTAAATGATTGAAGTTCATATGCAAGACACATGTCATATATCTATTGATTTGGTGTAAACACCCGGTGCGGATAAGTTTTTACTCTCTCATCCAAGTAGTAACTTGGAAAAATGGAGAACCTGATGTTAGATGTACCACTGGATATAAGATTAATAGCCCGTTTGACCAAGCTGCAAAAATCAGCTTATTTTGAGAAATGTTTTTTTTTAAAAGTGCTTTTCTCAAAAGTATTTTTGGTGAGGAGCAGTTTGTGTTTGGCTAATTAGTTTGAAAAGCACTTCTCAGCAGCAATTAGTATTTGGCCAAGCTTTTAAAAATTGCTTCTAAGTGTATTTTTCTCAAAAGTGCTTTTGGAGAGAAACTACTTTTTTCTGTTTCTCTTCAAAAATACTTTTTTTTCCTTCCAAAAGCTTGGCCAAACACCTCAATTTTTGGCCAAAAGTGCTTTTGGCCAAAAAAAGTACTTTTGGCCAAAAAGAAGCTTGGCCATCACTTTTGGCCAAAAAAAAAAAGTACTTTTGGCCAAAAAGAAGCTTGGCCAAACAGGCTATAAATTGCTTCTAATTATATGGGTCTAATCCGTACACAAATTCTAGAATATATATATATATATATCGAAATCTTTAATTTTCAAATTTAAGTTTGCTTTAGGTAATTAAATCAAAAATTTTAATTTTTAATTGTTTCTAAGTATATATATATATATATATATATATACACACCTGACACAACTCAATACTTTGATAAGTCACTGCTGCTATATATATATACTTATTTTGGTACATATATATTTAAATTATCTGACCATAGCACTAGTTTCTGCAATTTAATTTAGTGAATGTAGCGTGTCATTGTGTCTAGTACTTTTTTCATCACAAAATGGATGACTAAATTTGAAATATACATCGAAACATTATAATTTTTTATTTAAAGTGGACCGTTGATCATCCTTTCCTTTTAAGTAAAATAGATTTGGAAATACATACAAGTATTATATATCAACTTTTAATTTCAAAAAGATTATGATAAACTAAAGGTTTTTGATTTTATTTTCAAATATTCATAGTGATATAAAAAAGTTAAATTCAAATTGAAGGAAAAAAAAAGAAAAAAATCAAATTGAAGAAAAAGAAAGGTTCATGCATTTGTCTTTTTTTAACAATTTTCAAGTTCCGTCAAGAAAATAATTGCAAAGAATATATTAATTAATGTTAATTAAAATATTATTATTTGGGTATAATTTGAGTCCGTTATATATTTAAGATGATGAAACCGACAAAGCCATGTAATTTTAATAACCTAGTGTATATCACCAAAGGATGTGGTGCAGTGGATAAGACTGTTCCTTCCTTAATCAGAGGTCTCGAGTTAATCCGGATATAGTCGGGCTTCAATGCGGGTCGGATACCGGTTGGGAAACCAAAAAAAAAAATAACGTAGTGTTCCCTTTCACAGAAAAGCACAAGTAAATACCATGGTCCCATCATTGGCCGAAGTACGGAAGAGTAGTTAATTGAACAATTTTCATCAAAAATCTATACTATGTATGTAAGTTAAATATTATTTTGTACATAGATTAAATATTATTTTTGTATATTTATCCTCCCTCAAACAAGAAATCAAAAATATGTGGAAATTTCGGAGTATAAGTGGCATGGATTGAAATACCATTTAAATCTATAGAAACTTTATAAAGGTAGTGCAAATCACATTCTTTATAATTTAATATATTTAAAAAATGTTTAGAAAATCTTTGCCAATGGAAACATTGTTTGAGTCTCTAAATCACATTTCGGGAATTTAATTGAACAATTGCTTTGTCTCCAATTATATATTATATACATACATAAGAAGAAAAATTAAATCTTATAGTAATATTACAAGACCACTCTTATTCTGAACCCACCGATTCTAAATTTTGGACTCACCTCTCCTAGTGGAGTTATTGCTGGTTTAGTAGCTTTGGTGATAGAAACTTTGACACTTACATAGAGAAGAGAAGGATGATAACATTAGGTTAAAAATGACAATGCACAAAAGCTATAAGTCACTGAAAAAGATCATAGACTAACGGATAGTTCGGTGCACTAAGCTCCCGGTATGCGCAGGGTCCGGAGGAAGGACCCGACCACAAGGGTCTATCGTATGCAGCCTTACCTTACATTTCTGCAAGAGGCTGTTTCTACGGTTCGAATACGTGACCTCCTGGTTACATGACAGTAATTTTACCAGCTACGTCAAGACTCCCCTTCCAAAAAGATGATAGACTAGCTGCCAAAATTGATATGATTAAAAGATAGCAAAAAAGTTGAGCAAGATGCTGCGTGGCCACTAAGGTTAGTGTCTCTTTTGTGGTCTTTGGA